CTGGTTGTATTCTTTAGTTGGCAGAAGGTTATCCTGTTAGTAGATATTCAGACATCTATTCCTGGCGGCTTTTCGCAGTATGTGTAAATCAGTCTGTATATAAACTCTTTGGTACACAAAACAAATCACTTTCTCTCTGTTTACTATTTCTTTTCTTCTCTGCCTGCCTCTCTTTCTCTTTTCTTTCGCTCTTATTTACATTTCTATTTGAGCAAAATGGACGAACGCTTTACGTTAAAATTATTAAATAAACGTTTTTCGCTAAATTAATTTTCAGGTCAGACGGTTTTAATATTTCGCCTCTAGATTCGGCGAACCGATTTAAAATAATAACAATCATGACTATATATAATTCAGTTTTAATATCACACCGAAAATTATTCATTTATTTTTTTTCGGGTACACGTTTCTGTGTACCGAATGCGGTTGGAAGAGAAAATATTTTCAGTTCGCATTAAATATCTGAGGGCGTTGCAAAATTATTTAATTCTGCTTTTTTAGCAGAAAAAAAAACTGGGTAAGATAGATAGAGAGAGAGGGAGGCAGACAGACAGACAGATAGACAGAGAGACAGACACACACATGCACACGCACACGCACATACACACGCACACGCACACGCACACACACACACACACACACACGCACACGCGAGCACACACACACACACACACACACACACACACACACACACACACACACACACACACACACACACACACACACACACACAGAACAAGAAAATAAGGACACGTCATTCCATACTTCCCGATTATGTAACTAGACCAAATCACCTAATCTTTTCAACAACACGTATCCAGAGCTAATATCCCTCCATAAACCAACCAAATAAACAAAGTTAGATGCTCTCGAATCACAAATAACTTCTAAAATACTGACCTGTTCCACTTCCCATTATAAATAAACCTTTGAAGTTATATCCCATCAGCTGACACTGTCCTCTAATACTGCGAACACAAACCAGTGACCACGATTTCAGTATTTCAGTATTACACATCCACAGAGGCGCCACAGCTGTGAAATCCCGTGATGCTGCGTTGCAAAAGATCCAGTGAGTTTGGGATAATCTTGAGATAAGTACCGAGGACGCTTTTATCTCTCGGACAACAGGGCAGTGCTGATCCAGCTGCGTTAGCTCAGGGTATTGAGATTTCTCGATGCTCTTCGGCGGTGTTTGGTTTCGAAGGTGACTCACGTAGAGGCGGAGAGCAATATACAATAAAGATGGATGGTTTCTTGGTCACTTGATCGATTTGATTGTATGATCTCTTCGGAAAATGTGATTCGACAAAAATAAATATTGATAATGATAGTTATAATAATAGTAATAGTGGAACTGATTAACAATAATGATAATAATGATAGCAAAAATCAACAACAGCAGCAACAATAATAAGGATAAAAAGGAAAGGAAAGGAAAGAAATATAAACAAATAAAGAATAATGATAACAAAAACAGCAACAATAATACTAACGATAGCAATGATAATATTAGTAATAATAATAACAACAGCAACACCAATAAGTATAATATCAATATCAAATACACCACTATTAAAAATCTGATCACGAATGATTTCCACACTTCAGGAGACAGACATCAAATATTTCACAGCACTTTCCTCATATTTTTTTAAAGCCCATCGGAGGTGAGCGAGCGAGCGAAAAGCAGGAGTAATCGTTAAAATTTGAATAAATATTGGAAATGTCAGGAGAACCGAAAGCTGGTGTTTTTAGCCCGATCGAGATTTCTGGGGCTTTTAGATGCGAGCTAAAAGAACTGGCTTGGGGTTGAAATATGATCTTTGGCTAGATGGGACTATCCTATGCAAGCGAATCAAAGTTTCTTATATAGCTTTTATTTATTCATTTATATATGTATGTCTATTTGTACATTTATTTTCTATGAGTTATATAACAGAGAATTCTTAAATAAGTAATGTATGAATAGAAATATGGAATAAAAACGATATCTGTTTATATATCTATTTATGATAATAATGTGTCCATATGGACAACAAATGTATAGCTTACACATTTATTACTACCAATCACTCATGACTAATAGAACGCAGAGGAAATTATATTTTTATTATCCCTTATTCCATTAATAAAAAAAATGTAATAAATACTGTCCTCCTACGTTTATATTCTGTGTCGACAGTGAAATATGAAACTAAGAAAAAAAAAAGAAAAAGAAAAAGAAAAAGAAATACAAATAAAAGGAAAATGCTGACTCACGGGTCTTGAAGCTAAAGGACTTACGTCTCGTGTATATTTTTCTTCAGTAAGAGCTTATATGCCATTTGTCTAATTTTTTTTTATCCTTTTTCTTCATCTTCATAATTGTGTTGATGCATGTGCGTGTACGGAAATATACATCGGAGATACCATAAGAGTAATAAACCTGCAGCATTTGTCATCCTGGCGACAAGAGTCATATGGTGTTTGACATACTGCAGTGTCAACAAGCTTGGCACGGATATTAACCAAGCATGACTTATTGGTCCTTAAGGAGACGCACGCTTATGCTTATGTTAGGTGTTTACAATTTTCGTTTTGCATTGTAGACTGCACTGATTTTTTTTTTTTTTTTTTTTAAGGGGACAT